TCTTCTTCTTCTTCTTCTCACCTCCTCCTCCTCCTCCTCCTCCCTCTCTGGAACATCCAAGTATTGTTTTGAGGAGAGAAAGAGATGAGAGATGACAGTCTGGCGACGAGCTGACGTCCCGCCAACTCGGCCTCTCCTCCCCCCACGACCTGCTGCTACAGGCTGCTGCGTGCTATAATTGCGCGACGCCAAACAACTCGTCTCGTCCCGAGCGCGGCTCCGTTCCCAGCTGACGTGCCCGCATCTGGTTGTCGCCACAGAACGCAGCACTTGTTCCTCTGCCAGCCGGGATTTCACGTACCAAAATGGATCTTGCTCAGCTGTATCCCACAATGCCAGGACGGGCGGCCGAGACCTCCTCCCTAAACTTCTCCCCAGCAGATAGCCATCTCACAGCTGTAACCTGCGCAGGTTGGGTTTGCGACACAGATGGGTTGTTTCTGGGATGCAGATTCATATTTTCGTTCATAGATATCATCATCGCATTTATGGATCGTATTTTCTTATTTCACCTTCCCCCCTTTATTCCTCTTGTTTGTAGAATCTAGTGGATATCTATCGTCTTTGTTCCTTGCGATTTGGTTAGGGTGGCGTATCTGACGAGTCCTCCGTTCGTCCGTCCGACAAATGTAGCCCGGCCGAGTTGGCGAAAGCGAGATTTGCATCGGTGGATGGAGTGGATCTATCATCCATCGACCGTACCTTCCTACAAGTCGTATGCCCAAAGCCTTTGCAAACCCACTTTGACTTTGGTCTGGTCGTCCCCTTCGAATGATGAATCAAAAGCAAATGCTATCTTAAAAGGTTCTCATGCACAAGTTCGACATTCCCAGTTTGGCCCAACCAAATTTGATAGCCTCAGTTGCATATCAATGTTGTTCTTAGATTTATGTTTTAATCATCAAATAAAAAACCCTACGATTGGGAAATGCAATTAGTAAGATTAACCAAGGAGACTATTTGCTATAGGTTATCTTACACATTTGATGCTTTAGAAGAAGACAAGTCTCTTGTTCATCAAACATTGGAAGACATAAATAAAATATGTTCTTCGAGATTTAGATGTTTTTATCCTATTTATGCAACTTAATCAACAAGACATGTTTATAAGCTTGGTGTGATCTACTAAAGACTGAAGCTAATAGCAGAGAAAAATGCCTCCGATCATTCTAAAACAATTAACAAAGTTTTTACCAGCTAAGCTAGTCGATATCTTCTCGAAAAAATGAAATTATATAATTAAAAGAATGTGAATATGTGTATCCAAACTTTTCAAATTTGGTAAAGGATGTTAGTAGTACTCGAATATTCGCATAGAATACTAGCTTGGCTGATAAAGATTTTTGATAGTTTATCGTAAAAAATCTGATCTTATTATTTCTACTTTTTTAGGTCTATATTTCTACTATTCCCTGCTTGAACATCAAGGTAAAATTTTACAAGGATCTCTTTTTGACATATGACTTGCTATCTTTTAAATTACTTGTTGTACCACAATGTGTCAAAAAAATAAAAAATAAAAAGCTCCTTCAAAGTCACACATGGATGGATATATGCTACATTCATTGCTTCACCATACTATCTCAATAGATTTTGCTTCCTCATCTTTGCTTTCTTTCTAACATAAAATAACATAAAACTAAAACATGTTTTTTATTTTATTTTAGATCTAAAATGATAAATCATTATAGATATCAAATTAACGTGACAAAAACAAACTTAGTGATAAAAAAAATTATGATTAAAAATATAATTTAACTTAAAATAAAAAAAAGAAATAATATAATAAATAAAAGAACAAAAGAGTACAAAATAATGATACAAGATAATGCAAGCCTTTTTCTTTCCTTTCTATCTTAACTTGGCATATGAGACAGTCTTCACTTTCAAGTGCAACCAAGCTGTTCTTGATGTTTCAATAAGAATAATTTAGTATTTATGATAATATGTCTTTTTTTAAAAAAGATTAATGATGAAGACGGGATTCGAATTCAAAACATTCGGATAAACCATTAAAATTTTTAGCAGAATAATTTAGTATTTATGATAATATGTCTTATTTTTCTAAATGATAAATGATGAAGACGGGATTCGAATTCAAAACATTACGATAAACTATTAACATTTTTAGCAGAATAATTTAGTATTTATGATAATATGTCTTATTTTTCTAAATGATAAATGATGAAGACGGGATTCGAATTCAAAATATTACGATAAACCGTTAAAATTTTTAGCAGAATAATTTAGTATTTATGATAATGTCTTATTTTTTTAAAAGAAAGATAAATGAATTCAAAACATTACGATAAACCATTAAAATTTTTAGCAGAATAATTTAGTATTTATGATAATATGTCTTATTTTTCTAAAAGATAAATGATGAAGAATTCAAAACATTATGATAAACCATTAAAATTTATAGCAGAATAATTTAGTATTTATGATAATATGTCTTATTTTTTTAAAAGAAAGATAAATGAATTCAAAACATTAAGATAAACCATTAAAATTTTTAGCAGAATAATTTAGTATTTATGATAATATGTCTTATTTTTTTAAAAGAAAGATAAATGAATTCAAAACATTACGATAAACCATTAAAATTTTTAGTGATAATATGTCTTATTTTTTTAAAAGAAAGATAAATGAATTCAAAACATTACGATAAACCATTAAAATTTTTAGCAGAATAATTAAGTATTTATGATAATGTGTCTTATTTTTTTAAAAGAAAGATAAATGAATTCAAAACATTACGATAAACCATTAAATTTTTTAGCAGGTGATACCTTTCACCACCAAAATAAATATTCACTCATGTCATAGGGTGATGATAAGTAGAACCAAAGTTTTTGGACAACATGACCCGATACAAGAAGACGGTGGAATCGCTCGAATCGCGATCACAACAGACGCAGACACTTACTTCCGAGAGAGAGAGCGAGAGATATCGGTGACGGTGGAAACCGTCAAATAACTTAACCGGATCCTCCGAGCACCTTTTTTAGCTTCTTCACCTGTGCGTCGTCGAGGAAGGTGACCTTCTCCACCAGCGCAGATGGCAAGCTGTTGGCGAAGAGCGCGAACGCCGTTATCTGAAGTCCAGGGTTAGGGCTGCTGAAGGTGACGATGGCCACTGCGGTGACTCCCCCGGCGTTTACCTGGAAGTGAAGCAGGCCTTGTGGGAAGACCATGGTGTCCCCCTTGTGGAGCGTAGTGTAGTAGACACCGTTCGCGGAGGAGATGAAGCCGGCGAGGATCATGCCTTGCGTGACGACGAGCAGCTCAGAGCCACCTGGGTGGGTGTGGAGGGGGACCACGCCTCCAGGGGCAAGGTCGAGCCGAGCGGCGGAGATGCCGAGTCCGTTGACGCCAGGGAACTGGCCGACGAACGCAGGGGTCACGGCGGCCTTGATGATGTTTGAGGTGTTACCCGCCTTACCGAGACCCTTGAAGACGAAGTCGTTGGTGGTGACATGAGAGACGTCCTTGCAAGGATAGCCTGCGGGGGTGTCAGAGGCGGAAATGTCGCCGACGCAGAAGTCCTGGACGGAGGCGTCGGCGGCGGACAGGAGGATGAGGAGAAGGAAGAGGAAGACGGGCAGCATTGTTGCTATATATATATCCTTCTCTCTCTTCTTCCGCTTCTTTCTCTGGTGTTGCTTCAGTATGGTCTGTTGGGCATTATATAGAAACAAGGGTTGAGAATGGCATCTGGAGGGAGGAGACGAGGGTTGCTTCACGTGCATGGAGATACCGACGTCGCAGGAAGAAGACGCATCGGTGAGCTGGAAGAGCACGTGAAGGTCTGTCGTCGACTAAGATTTTGGGTCCCTCTATTTGTGGGGCGAGAGCAAGTGGGATAAGATCTTTCTCGTGCAAGGACAAAAGGACACTTTTTTACCGAGCGATGATTAGCAATTAATAAAGAATTCTTCTTACCTTAAAAGAACCATTTTCTTTCATTGAAATCGAACGAAATGAGTTGATGCTTATCTTAGGTGGTCACGGGCATGACTTGCAGCACGCTAGGCAAGAACGCGTATCTCTCTTTTAATCCAATCATAAAACCCTAAATATGTACTTAGAGCAGAAAAGAGATGATTATAATTGATGTTCCGTCGACGTCTGGTCCATATCCATCATCACACGACAAGGCGAGAAAAGACACATGACAGCTCTGTGGGTCAACTGACTCACAGCTTCGGGCATTAAGACAAAGCTTCATAAAGCAAGGAGATATGTTTGTGTGGATGGAAGCAATTCTCCTTTTTTTTGTTTTATGGATGAGGGGAGAGGAGGAGGATGGACATTCTCCTTGCGCCAAGATAAGATGATAAGTTTGAAGCATTAGTTCCATGGGCGGTTGAGAATGGCAGCTGATACCGTGTGTTCATTGGTTGTGGTCCCAACTGGATCACTTCTTCTGGTCCAATACCCGTGTCATTGTTTAGCGTCTTTGACGGGGCATATATATATATATATATATATATATATATATAT